TGCAAAATGGCCAAGTTGCAATGATAGAAAGATTACACAATTGGCAAAGGCTAAGATATTATTATGATTTAAAAGTTTGGGATCATACCCTACAAGGTTTCCATTCTTGACTAGCAAGTTGTGTGCTCACATTGTCTTGTTAAAACTTTGGTCTCACCGAACTCAGGAATAGATTCAGGATTTAAGTTAAAATGGCTCCATTAAAGAAGGAATTAAAACTAGAATTAGAGATATATTACTAATTCCGTCATTGTTATATTCAACGCTACATGTTCAGAAAAAAAGTTGAAGATTACGTTAGGTAGCCTACAGTCAATGTAAAACTTTGTCGGATTGATCTTGATGAGTCCAAACAATGATATATGCGTTAATCTTATGAGCGTATTGCTCGTAACCAAAATAAATGACGAAAACGAACTCTTATAGTCGACATCAAATAATTGAAACATAAGATTTAATTTAGTTGATTGGTTTGTACAGTAGCATTGAGAATGAAAAGGATTAAAATCAAAGAGAGATTGAAGACTGATTAACCAGGTTGGGGTAGGGATGAAGATGACAACTGAGGAACTTAAAAAGACAATGATGTTGACCTTGGTTGGCACTATGTTCAATAATTACCCCACCAAAATTTGTTTGGTATAGTGGTGTGGTGGGTCTATTCGATTGATTGCACAATAGATCTAATGACAGTTCATTTACAACCTACATATCTTTTTATTCTCCACATTTCTTGGATTTTCAAATTATACTGAATAGTTGCAATCATCAGAGAGTATATGCATTTATTCTCTCGGTTCAATTTTCATTTATATAACTACACACACTCTTATCCTTTTGAAAAGGTACACCAACACCATCTTGATTTGTTCTATTTTTCTCAATTAGGAGATATTCGGGTTGCTTTGTTTTGTCAGAACATTCACCTCATTCTAAGGCTTATATGCAGTTTTATTCATTATGAGCCGGTCGTTCATCCGTTGAAGACTGTTTATAAATAATCAAATTTCCAAGAATAGTAATAAGTAAAAATAATTAAGTAGAGAAAGTATTTATGGTCCCCCCCCCCCCCCCCCTTCTAATTAAGTAGACACAAGAGGAGCAAACATTTTCTTACCCGCACTGCAACTGCAAGTGATAGGGTATACTATCAATTCAAGGTCCCAAGTTTGAGTCCCGATTGACCGGAAATGTATGTTTTACCTGTGATACATGCATTTTGAATTCACGTTGTAGTTATAAGACTTATGTTCATGTAATTGGGATAATTTATGGTGAATCTTATATGATTCAATTCGTCTCGTATATATTGTCTGATGGTCCCGGCCCAAGGCCCAACTCAAGTTGTGGGCTCAACTTGAATAAATGACTCACCTAGACAAAATTCAATGGATCTAACTCAAAAAAGATCCACGCCTAGTCAAGTTAATCAAGGCTCCAAGAACCACGTCATCAAGGAGCAGACAATGTCATTCCAAGAGTCTCATCTACGCCAACTTGGAGTAGGAAGTAAAGAAGTCAACCACGTCATCATAAAACCTAGTCTTGAGGAGAACTCCGTAACTACCTCATCCGTTGCGAAGATGGTGCCAACTCCACTAAATTAGTTTTTTAGTTACTAATAAACTGCTTCAATCTGTTATGAGGCACCTATAAAATATAAGTCTTGTCTACACATGGGGGTATCTAGCACATCTTGCATCACTCTCATATCTCTGACATCCTGTATCTCTCAAATCTCTCATAGCTTGTACCTCACTTGAACTCTCATTGCTCTCACTTGATCTCCTTACACTCTTACAACAATAAAACACCCAAGTCATCCTAACTCTTCACAGTAGAATAGGTCACCTTGACATAACCGCTTGTGTCTTGTTTGTGTTGAGTTTCTCTCTCTATTTTATTATTTGCATTAATTACTTGACATGTGATGTATAAAACTAATTTATGCATCATCATTGTCCATCTCCATTATTTTTATGGGTGAACTAGAAATATCTAGTGCTTATAGCTACCATGTTGCATAAGATTCCACATCCTGTGCTGTGGAAAATTTGTGTTCCCATTGGCAATAAAGCCAGAAATGAAAACGATGGGGGGTAAAAAGGCCTCATTAATGTTGAATTTTTTGGTCATAGATTAAATAGAAAGAATAGGTATGGTGGAAGACTTCATTCTTTTAGCTTCAAACATCGGCAAACGAAGTGAAGACGGGTAGTTCGGTGGTTAAGTCTAACTTTGGTAATTTAGATCTCAGGTTTAATTTATTCTCACACTCTTTAAGGATTAACCACTCTTATTCCTCAAAAACATACTCTATCTCAACTCATGCCATGGTGGTCACCGCTGAGCTTGAAATAATAGTCAGCACAAACCTGAACACCTTGTAACAAAAAAAAATGAAGATGACATAACTTGACAAAATATTATTCAAATGTTGGGCTCATTGAGTGTCAGGGATAGAGTAAGCCCCAAGAATTGGGCCCATCGCCTTGATGAAGACCATGATAGCTAGACCCACAAGCTTACACCATGCAACTTTTGCTTTCGAGGTCCATCCCAAACCCAATACTGTTATACTAAGGATCAAAGAAGCTGAAGTTCGAGTTTAGATACTAGACAAGGGGGCGTAACATAGGGCTGTTAAGTAACTCACTTAAATTGAATTCTGATGGTCTCACACGTAATAGGAACGATGGTAAGATGTCGTTAGACCATTGATCACATGCATTTTGACATAATCTCAACTAGTATTGAAGATATTTAAATTTTGAACCGCATAATTTTTTTTGAAAATTAGCATTCGTCATAAATCAATACTCTGATACCATTGATGGTCCCAAACGTAATACAAACAGTGGCAAGATATTGTTAAACAGTTAATCACGTACATTAGAAAACAAATATGGTGCCTCAACGATTTAGACCTAAAGACTATCGAATATTCAAGATGAAGTCTTCTATGAGCAAGGATCTATTTATAGACTTTCAATAGTTACCAATGCAACTATTCAAACAAAAGACACAACCATTGACAATGATTGTGTCTGTTGCCCATTGTAACCGTTGTCAACCTCTTCCTCTCCTACCCGTACATGGAAACCACCATCGATTCATGCCTATGAGTTCACCGACTTACAAACTCAACTCAATAAAGTCATCTAAATTTTTTTTTGAACGTTGTATTAATTCACGGGGCTAAATTATGGTAATAGTAGGACAACAAGGGATTGGCATCGAGCCGTGGATGGTAGTGGGCTGCACTGGTCCAGCCCATTCAATGACAGACCGATGCATTGCATGCCCTAATAGACGTTTGAGTTGTTTTGGGTCGATCTAATAGATTCATCTTTTTTAAAATTAATTCCATTTTATTTAATTTTTTTTAAAATTTGGCGGACCCCGTTCTTCAGCAATCCTACCTTCCGGACCAGAAAAGAAAGCCACGACCCCATTTTCTGGGCTTACAAGCTAGCCTCTAGTTGCCACGTGTTGGGCCGGTCCAGCCCATAGCTTATTAGCCTCCGGCCTATTGGACCACATCATTGGCTGCGGGCACACCTCGATTAATTCCCTTTTTGATCTGATCAAAGACAAGTCATCTACATTAGAATTAGAATATTCATGAGAGATAGATCTCTCATGGCCTAACCCTAAAATGTTATCAAGATTCGAACTCGAAACATTTGAGTTTTTAATTCATTTCTGTCACCACTTAAATTACACCTTCGAGTTGACTTGAAATTAGTTGGGGATTGAAATCTCCGTCATATTCTCATTCCGCATAAAATGATTGAATTTGGATTAGTTTTTATTAGAGGTGACAATCTTAACCCATTTGGTAGGTAAATTTTGATAATTCGATTTTCACTGTATAGTTAATTATGGATCAAAAATAAACGTCCTAATTCGGATCCAAAATCGGAGGATCCGTACTCTGTAACTCCCATTATAGCATAACCTAGGTGGGTCTACTTCACTTAGAAAAGGCCAGTCCAATATCCATATGGTCCATACCTCGATAGTCCTGACACTCCTCCAGCAAAGCTCTTGTGAGAGTTCACAATAAAACAATGTTTTTCAGGGCCCTAAAGTGCATGCATTTTAATGAGACATTCCGTGCAACATATGGGTTCCATGTCCCATTCAACCTGACCTGTCAAACCCTATTACTTGTTAATTTTGCAATTCACATCTATGCTCAGTATCCTAACCAAACAACTCTCAACCACACAACAAATTGATCAAAGAGAATACACGCCGAATTAGTAATTTGTGGTGTCGTAGTCTTAACTTGTATAAATCGTATCATGTTTAAATTAATTTAACTAACATCTGATTTATTTACTGTACGTATTTGACCAATCAGTATGTGTGTATGACCCAAACCCATTGAAAACTAATCTCATCCCAGTAACTTTGTTTTGATTTTGTGTTAAATTAACGAATCGTGATAAAAATTTCGTCCTAGACATAGGAGAAGATATACCGGAGGCATATCATCCATCATTATCATCCTTGTTCACAACGGATGATGATAGACAAAACATTGATGGCTACCAGTCACATGCCACCTACTATGGAGTTAATGCCCCAGTCTCATGTGAACCCCTTCACAAGTACCATTCAAAAAACTTCACAATACACTTTTTATCTTAGTTAGGCTAAACCCACAATAAAACCAGTTGCATTATGGAATACAAGAAGTGCGGGTGAATGCAAGTATCTGGGGTTTTCTCTCCATATTCTAAGTCTAACTCTGCTTTAAACATGTTAATTCAAGAAGTATACAAAAAGGGGCAGAGACTACTATCAGAATCTTATAACAAGAGCATCTTTTCATTGGAATCTTTCTTAGTGGTTACAAGTTTAACAGAACATGTCCTAAAGCTCTTTTTTGCTCTTTTGTAAGACAAAGTAGAATTATCTGAGATTGATAAAGACGTTAAGAAACTCAAAAACATTACAAAAATTTACAGAAGAAAAATTGAGGATTACATTCAAGAATTCCAGATTCCATTCCAGACACTTCGGAATCTATTTGATGAACACTTTCGGACAATCTTTTTGGCATCTGAAACTTGGGCATCAGCAAGTTTTTCTATGTTTTTGAGGTACCCAGAATTTGCAATTTTCTTTCTTGCACTGTTGCAACTTGTTAGAGACATCAGTATGGAAAGCAAGAGCTTTCTATTACCTGAATTTGCCTCTTCAGGGTCAAGTTTCTGTAGAAGCAAACCTAGATTTTGTTCGTTTTGCACAAATCGCTTTTGATTTCTGGGGACTAAAACCATGCTAGAGAGTGCCTCGGCTGCCATTTCACGAACTTCAAATGATTTTGCATTAAGAAATTTCACAAGCTCTGGCATAAACCCTGCATCACCCATTGCTTTCTTAGCCTCTTCTGATGTTCCACATAGCCAAAATGAGGCCTTCAATGCCAATTCTTGAACCGAAAACTCCCCATTGCGAAGAAAATAAAGTATATGATCCATAAACCCATAATCCATCAAAATGTTCAAGGGATTCAATGATGGGAAACATAAATTCATAATTCCTCTCAAGGCCACCTCTCGTGCCTTTGTTGAGAATGATGATTTAGGATCAAAAACCCGAACTAACACTCGAATCCCACCATCTGTTACAATCATTTGCCTAATTGATTCATCCCCAGAGGCCATACATAGCAAAAAATCAATAGAACTTATCTGTGAAATCTCATCTTTAGACCTGGCAAGCTTGATAAGCACTGGAATTGCGCCTTCTTCAATCATAAACCTCTTGATTTCTTCAACCCCAACAAGATTTTTCAACACCCCACAACACAAACCAACCAATTCACCACCACAACCACATTTAGTACCACATATCTTCAACAAAGCAATCACTCCACCGTGAGCCGAAACCGACCACGCATTATCGGAGTTCTCTGTGACCTTTTGCAAACATCTTGCTGCATATTCTTTACCCAACTCACTCCCACTTTCCAAAACCCGAATTAAAGGTGCAATAATCCCAGCACCAACCAGTACACTTCTATAGGGTTCGAAACCTGCAATCAGTGAGACCCCCCTCGCAGCCTCTTCTTGAATCTCTGTTTCTTGTAAATCAAGAAAATCCACCAAGAGAGTAATGAAACTGTTCATTTCCAGAACAATCTTTATATATCTATCATCTTCATAAATTACTTCATTGAAAGCAATCAAGGCTTGTTTCTTCATATCAGTGCCACCAATTTTGAGCCTGGACAACAAATCTTTTACATAGAACTTCATGTCATCCCGAGAAGCTGAAGGACCAGGTCTTGAAACAACAATGGCGTGATTCTGTATAAGCAAACCCAGAGAATATATATCAGATAAACCCTTAATGTGGGTGCCCAATTTTGCAGAGACTATATCGATGTCGCTTTGCATAAGCAGCTTTCCACTGTATGACAAGTCAACACACCGCCGGGCAAGGTTGGAACAATCATTGAGTGTTGCTTTAATTGCTTCAACGGTGGTGAAGAGTGAGGGGTGGTCGCCGGAGTCACAATTCTCGACGGCCGTGAGACCGGAGAGAAGTTCTTCAAGCTTTTCTCGAATCAACTGCCATTTCACTGCAAAGACTTTGATCGAATGACAGAGCGGAATTAGGGAAGATAGGAGTTCAATGGCTGGCCGGAGACTTAGCTTTCCGGCGGATGATTCAGGTGGGTCTTGGTCTTGGTTCGATTCAGTGGTGATTTTTTCTTCACCCATGTTGTTTTTCATTGGATTGGAAGCAAATTCATTGTCTGGTATGTGGTTGGGTCAAGAGAGAGAACCGAATTGATGGTCTCATCATGAAGAGGAAGACTAGGCCTGTCTTTCTACTCTTATCCCCTGCATATATAACAGAATTGAGGTTCAATTACGAAAATGGACTTGTGAAATGTATGGCATAGCATTTGATGGTAGGGGGAAAGGTCAGAGGGCTATTTGTGTCATTGTGGAAGTATAATGGTAAGTTGATCAGTTGGTAAGTTGGAACGTAGATGGAGAGATAATAGGAGAAAATGCTTACCAAGTGTACATAAATATGTTATAATTTCGGGAAAATTTCATTTTGTCCCCAAAAGATATAAAAAAAAATTTAGTTTATCCCCCAAATGATTAATTTTTTTACATTACTCTTTCAAAAAAATAAAAACATTGCAATGTAGTCCACTGTCTTATTTATAATTAGTTGTCCATCTGTTTTGTGTGAAATCAACCAGACAGAAATAAGACAGATGACTAAACGAAAATAAATTGATGAACCATATTACAACATTTTTATTTCTTTGACAGGACAATGTAAGAAAATTAATCAATCGGGACAAAACTACAATTTTTTGTATTTTTCAGTGACAAACTGGGATTTACCCTATAATTTATGCCAATTCTAGCTTGTTATTGTAAATATAAAATGTGAACATTTAATATTATTATGAATTAGCAAACACAAGCATATTTTGATTATGAAATAGCAAGCATGAGTATAGTGTGGTAGTATTCTCTCAATGTTAGACAAGAACTCACTCTAAAAAGTTTAGAGATTTTGAGTTTTGGTCACTCTTTCAGGCAACTCCCACAAATTTTGGACTTAAATTGTCAAATACCTAAATAACAATTCATATGTTGTATAAAGTCGAAATACACGCATTACTTAGAAGAAAAAAAACAAATACTAGTATGAAAAATAGAAATAAATAGGGTGAAAGAAATTTCGACACATAAATCAATTCATATTATGTGAATTTTGTGTGTAATCATGATACTATTGTTTGTGGCAAATTGTGTAAGTCGGTATTAATTTTATTTTATTTTATTTCTTTTACAACGCTAGGCATGGGAGGTGGGCCATAGGGTACCCGATTTGTCCCCACATGAACTAATATTGCTTTCATAATACATGTTCTATCCTATCATCCACCTTCGTGGTGTTGGGACTATTTTGGCTTGATGACATATATGCCTTCTACTGCAAGAGAAAAACAAACTAAAATCAATGCATGGTGAATAATACAAGAATTATAGTGATATTTTCTTCTTCAAACAAGTTGTAAAATCATATAATACAATATCACATAGATCAGTTGTGACTATGTTTAATTTACTAGTGCTTTGTCTCACTTCCTAGTTGTAACACGGAATTCCTGGATCATAATAACCGACTTTCATCTCTGTCCGACCAGTTGGAAGACACCCTAATATGGGATGAGCTATAACACATGCTATATAGCTAAGCTGGCTAACAATAAACGTAGCTTAGGTGTTTTTTCCCCTTATACTACGCAAGAAAACAAAACTTAGCTCATCAAGTAGTTCAGATAACAGCATTTCAGTAGTTAGTATTTCGAAATCTCAAATTTGAGTTTCGTAAGAGATACTTTAATTAACTTGATGTACGTGATTTGTGGGTGTGATTATACACGTCTTAACTTTACATAGCAGACATAATTTCAAACAACCCGTGTATGAAACGTCCATTATGGAAATCATCCATCATACAAAAGGGAGGATATTTTGCGTCAAGTAAACGGTAGGAAACTACGACCACCCTTCCTGATGTTGAACTTTATGACCATATAATCCCACTACATATAAACTAGGGTTTACTTGATAATTTACAGAAAGGAACAAGAGAGAATGCAAAGGAAGAGACAAATACATGAATTAACACCCAGAGAGAAAATGAAAGCACTAATAATGGACCACCCATAATAGGGACACTCCTATTGAAAAGGGCCAAAAAGGGGGTAGCTTTCAATACCATTAGCATCTAGATGAGACCATTGAGAAGGCCTCACCCCACCATGTGAACCCCTTTGTTGGATGCCTTAAGTTTGGGGTCATGTGGTCACCTTTTCGAGAGGAAGTGTAGGTGAATCTTCATTTGGTGAAAGGTCTGTCTTTTCTAACCTTTCCTCCATGACCTAGCTAGTGAAGGGAGCTAAGCAAAAAGACAAAAATTGCTTTGTTAAAACAATGCAAAAAGAGAACACCACATAGGTTAATTCTTATTCCTTTTTTTTATCATAGAAAAAGGAAGGGACTACTAGTCGATAATAACTCTTGGGTGTACTGATGAGGGTTCCTCAGTGTGGAATGTCTAATTTAAATTATAACTACTAATCTAGAAAACCAGTCCGTCACTATAGCACCACCAAAACCAAGCAATAAACCATGTTGTTCCCATGAATCAAATCCTACTTGATAATTATATAAGAGTCAAAGACGATTCAGATACAACTTACCACTAGACTACCAACTTTGGTGGTCACATAGGTTAATGCAATGGTAGAATAATAGCAAAAAGTAAATCCGCACAACTTGAATTTGAGTTTCAATTGACAACATCATAAAATTCAAGTCTAATTGATGTGTATGATTTACAGGTGATTGTGTGCATTTAAAATTCATGTCGTAACCATTAATCCAAAGGCGCATAGATAGAACGATTATCCAATTCCAAAAACAAACATGAAGGAAAATGCGTCTTTGGTTCAATAGTACTCCTTACCTTGTGAAGGTTTTGCCTTCTTAAAGTCAAGGGTTCAAACTCCCTTCCCCCTCCGCTTAAAAAAAAAAAAGGATATTGGTTATCTAGCTACAAATTTAATTAAAGTGTAAACTTTTGAGGCATTTATACATATGGAAGTTATTCTATGGAAAATGGGAGGCAAGAGCATCACAGAAATGAAATATTAGAAGGTGACAAACAAGACTAAAAAAAATTAAATGACCCATGATAAAACTAGATGTCTAATTTAGTACCAATGCTGCCTTGTTACAAGACAAAGATACCCATTATTCTGTTGGTCACGGGTCATTATTTTATGTAATCTTTTTGTAATGAGTTTACTTTACACTATAGAGTAGTGATATTGCAATTTAATTTAGAGACGTAATATATTTACACCGTTGAAATAGCAACGAGTCTTAGTATTTTTTTATTTTTTTTCAACGGTCTGGATTGTTTGGGCCAACTTATATGCACCTCGATTAATCTCTTCTTCATTCTGGTCAAAAGCAGATCATCTACACCGAGACTATGGTGGATATTCATGAGGGATAAATCTTTCACAGTTTGACCTCAATGGATTGATAAAATTTGAATCCAAGACGTTTCGATTTACAGTTCGTCTCTGTTATACCTTGAGTTACTTTTTGGAGTTAAAGGGTCTTAATATTGAATAAAGTCAATTACCAATTCATTGGTCATAATATAGTTAGTCATATCCATTTTTTTTTTTTTTGGGGGGGGGGGGGGGGGGTTAGTAACATTTTTAGTCCCTAAAGTATATATTTTTTGTCAATTTAATCTTTAAAGTATTCAATTGATATCATTTTGGTCCCTATATAAATCAACCATTAAGTTTTTGAAGAAAATAATCACGTATTAGGAATGTGATACAATCTAAAAAAAATGACACGAGGTCATTTCCTTCAAAAAACTTGACAGATTGAATATTTTAAGGACAAAATGGATAAAATTAATACAACAAAAAACGTTACTAACCCCTTTTATTAAAGTAGCATGATTATATACCATTTTTTTAGACATGATTTGGATCTAAGTATTTGTTACATCATAGGATTTAGGTTGTTTGGATTCCTTGAGTGGAATGTCGGCCTTCATTCTTTTTGATAATTTCCCGTTGTGGGGCCGGTGTGCCGACAGAAAATGATAAATGCATCAAACAAATTGTAAAGCTAATAAAGTAAATGTGACCCTCATTCATGTCAAATTGATTTGTAAGTTTATCTATAATTTTTAATGAAGACATCTAAAGTGATACATGTAAATTTTTAATTTATTTTATCCGATATCATGTTACAATCGCAAGAACTCAAGAATATCAACAAGCTCAAGTCTAAACACTGCATCTAAAAGAGCATACTCTTTGGAGGAATTGATAAGAGCTTAGTAATCAACCTGAAACTCTCGTAACAACTGATGTGTAATTTTAATTTATTTATTTTTAATGAACACAGAAGATGGTGTACAAATTTTGAACATTGAAACCCAAAAATAAAACAATAAAAAAAATAGAATGATTTATTGTGTAATAGAATGGTTATACTTATCTCACTACCATTTGGAGGGAAACTCTTGGGTATTGGGAAAAAAAATTGATATCAGTATCATCAGTTACTATTTTATGTAGTAAAATTATAATTTTGAAAGTAGAAGTTACAACTGTTTAAAGAATGTCATGATCGATCATAAACAATGTTGTATCGATCATAACATTCTATTATCGATTATATTCTTTGAAAGTATAACTTACACTTCAAAAAATTATTACTTAACTTTAAAGAATTATAATTTATAGTTTCGAAATCGCCTGCATACCGTAAAAGTTGCTGCATTTGTAAGGGGTGTATGATCTAGTGGAATGGTTATTGTTGGGTTGAAAGGTATTGATACGAAGAGACCGGTGATTGTCTTGGACACCTTTGAGTGAGGAAGAAGGAATATCCATGACAGGCCAAGTGTACGAAATACCTTAGCTTTGAAGAGAAAGCTACATGCAACAATATATAGCATGTGCTTCCACTCCTATCAAGCTCATGATATTCGATTATCAATGAGTGGGCGTAAAATATATATATGATAGAAATTTGCAAAAGCAATCACTTATTTAGTGGGATAAAATTATGTATATTTAACTTGAAATTTGTTTAAGTGATAACAGCGATGAGTTGTGTGGCACTGATGTCGTCCACATAGCACACCAAAGTTGACCATAGCATTCCTGGCGTCGCACAAGATGCCTACCCAGCCTTCTGGCATCGCCCAAGGCACACTGCTAGCCTTCAGGCTCCGCCTAGCTAGTTGCCCCACCTCCAGCGTCACTTGCACCTAGCGCCACCACACCCCTCGACCTGGCATCATCTTTGCCCGGCGCCCACCTTGGCCCGGGACCTAGAGTCCTAATAAAACTCGACTCCGAGTATCAAGTGAATATTGATAAATAAAGCCTCCCAACAAGCATATCCCTTCCTACAAAGCAAGACTCAACGTCCTAGTATAATTCTACCTCGAACATCTAGAGAATTGGTGATGAGGTCTATCTTATCACAACCTAAGGTTCGATTCTACTTGAAACACAGCTTCCTATGTCGCTATAAATAAAGGTTATGAGTATCAGGTATATCATTCAATCCTAGCCTATTCACCATAGACTTTTTCTTCGACTTATTTGCTGACTTAAGCATCGGAGTCCCTTTGGCTGTCTCTGGCCATCAATTCACTTTAGTGTTCTATTGTCTTGCAGGTTACTCAAGGTTTACTCACCACCTATCTGACCTTCAAGACGTATTTGATATTTTGAAGTGACACAAGCTTAGGCTTAACGGCTCAAAGTGTGTCTTCGAAGTGAGCTCCGGAAAGTTCTTAGGACACTTGATGACACGAAGAGGAATAGAAGCTAATCCAAATCATATTAAGGCTTTGCAGGCAATTAAGAATCCTTCCTTAATCAAGGAAGTTCAGAGGTTAACAGGCATGACTGCGGCACTTAACCGATTTATTAGTCGATCTTCAGATCGATGCAGATTCTTCTTTCAGTTGCTTAGAACAGGTCGGGCTTTCCACTGGGATGATGAGTGTGATAAGACTCTCGATGACTTGAAAAGCTACCTCCAAACACTTCATTTGCTCTCCTCTCCTTCGCAAGGGGAAGAACTTTAACTATATTTAGCCATGTTCGAACACGCTATAAGTGGGGTGTTGCTACGGGTAGAAGGAAGGGAACAGAAACCTATATATTTTGTAAGACTTTATTTGGGGAAGAGACCAGGTATACCCCTATGGGTGTTAAACGTGTTAGGTAGAGTCATTTCGTATCGGGTTTGTATTAAAAAATTTTAAACACGAACCTGACATGTTTAATAATCGTGTTGAGATGTGTAAACACCAATCTCACTTGGTCATTAAACGTGTTACCTAAACCTGACAAGTTTAACACGTTTAATAAACAGGTCATTTTTGAGTTAACACGTAACACGACATGTCAACCTGTTTAACCCAACTAGTTTAACCCACATATCAAATTCTATCTGTTCAAATTCATTTTTTTTTTTTGAAAAAATAAAAAATTTATTAAATCAACTCCAAAAAATTACAAGAAGCAAAACAGCCAAAGACTACATTCCAAGCCAATGGCTTTAATCCCTCAAACACAAAATTCATACAAATGCCAAAACAACCCAACATTTCAGTCAACTCCTGTCATACCAGACTGCTAACCTGCCTTTAGAGGTGTCAACCGTGTCGTGTCATATCATTTTCGTGTCGTGTCATTTTCGGTTGTATTATTTTCGTGTCGTATCACTTTCAGTACGTGTCGAATTTGTGTCGATATTTGTGTTAATAAAAAATTATTTAATTTGACAACAACTAATATAATACTATTTAAAATATTATAAAATTCTTATTTTCTATCTACAATACTCGTTAAATAATTATTTTTTATCTATAGTGCACATTAATCATATTTTTCATGTCGAACTTTAATTTGACTCATTTATTACTCGTGTTAACTAATGGTGTTATTTTTGGATTTATGTCGGGTTCGTGTTAATGAAAAAAATTAACACCCCTACCTGCCTTGGATCTTGCAGCAATCCTGAAACATCATGCCCACTCACTACCTCAAAACCATAACCATCTTCCTCCTTAAAGTAGGCAAAGCCATCTGATCCTGGAACTCCATCTTACCAACCACAGACAGCAATCTAGAAGCAGAAAACTCAGTACAACATTCCACTTGGAAGAAGCCAAGAAATCTGCAAGAGCATTAGCCTCCCAGTAAATATGCTTAATCTTGACATTAAGCCTTTTAAACAATCCCCAAATCTGGTCCAAAATAGATTTGCACCTCCAAGGCACAACAACTTTACCTAAGACCATTTGCACTAGACTCTACGAATCACACCATTTGAAGGACAAGGGCTTGAACGACAAGAACGATGAAGGTTGAACAGTGAGCCCTCCTCCAGACCAACGGCGGGTGAGAGTGAAAAAGTGAAAAAATGGAAGTGGGTTAGGGTTATGTTTTTTTTGTTGCTTTTATATATTTGAATAAATGGTTTAAACGGGTAATAAATGGGTAGGTCGGGTTCGGGTTGAATTATATCAACATGTTTAAAATATACTGGTTAATCGGGTTGACCTGATTTTGACATGAACGCGACCTATTTTTTTTTCGTGTTTATACATGTTGACCTGTTTTTATCCATTGACCCATTTAATTTCATGTTCGACCCATTAATTTCATGTTCGGTTCGTGTCATGTTAACGTGTCGTGTCCAAAATTGACAGCCTTATATACCTCCCTCAAAAAACTCCTTATCCCCTTGCTTGTAGTCTCTTGCAAGTTGAATCATTACTTTCAAACACATACCATCGCGGTAATCACTAAACACCCTCTAAGAAGTATTCTTGGAAAGACAGACCTTTCTAATCACATTGCAAAGTGGTCACTTGAGCTAGGGCAGTACGACTTCAAATTCATTCCAAGGACAGCGATTAAAGCACAAGTCTTGGCTGACTTCATAGCAAAGTAATAGGATATGTATACATGGGATATCATGTAAGCCTTGAGGGCACTATTGTATTTTCATCATATTACCTTACACACCTAAACAGAATGGTCGGGTAGAGCGTAAACACTGGCATATTGAAGAAATGGGTCTTGGCTTGTTATATCAAGCTTCTTTGCCTCGTTCTTTATGGCTTGAGGCTTTCTCTACTGTAGTTTATCTCATTAACAGTCTATCTACTCCCATGCTTGGTCATCGTTCCCCCATGAGCTATTATTTGGTTCCTTGCCGCACTATGATCATTTGTGAGTATTTGGTTGTGCTTGTTATCCCTTTTTGGGGGCTTATCGCAAGGACAAACTTTCCCCTAAGTCTCGACGGTGTGTTTTTATTGGTTACAGTTCAATCCACAATGGTTATCGCTATCTAGATCCTAACACAGGTTGAGTATTTGTTTCTCACCATGTTGTGTTTAATGAGAATATGTTTCATTTTGCAAATCATCTTACCTCTAGGTCTTCTGGCATTCTCCCTACTCCCAACACTACTTCTCTTGTCTCCTTGCCATTTGTTGTGCCTCCTACATTGATCCATGGTTCATCCACTCCTCCTCAGTCATCACCAACAACCACTATGCCTGAAATTGGAGCTACAACACCTACTTGCCCTTTTGTGTTATGTGATGATTTGAAACCTCACCATACTACAAGCTCTTCTGTTGCTAAGCTTCCTATGGTTGATCCTTCTACAATTGATGCACCTATTAGTCCTCCACCTCCTTTAGGCTTATTCCATCTAATGGTGACCAAAAGTCATGATGGAACACGCCCACCTCGTACTGTTTACTTTAGCAAGCACTCTCTTGCATGACCATTCTCTGCTCTTTTATATGCTACAAGCCCCAAGGAATCCAATTTTTTTTAGGAAGCTTCACAAGACCATCGTTGGATCTCTGCAATGGAGGATGAGTATCGTGCTCTTCTCCATAATGGTACTTGGTGCCTTGTGTCCCATGATTCTTCGATGAATGTTGTTGGTTGCCTCTGGGTTTACAAAGTAAAAGAGCGTGCCAATGGCTCAATTGAACGCTTTAAGGTGTGACTAGTTGCCAAGGGATTTACTCAACAAAAAGGTATTGATTTTGATGATACTTTTAGCCCTGTTGTAAAGGCTATTACCATACACCCTGTCCTACCTATAACTGTTTCTCGAAGCTGGACCATTAAACAGTTGGATGTTAAGAATGCTTTCCTGCATAGTCACCTCCATGAGGAGGTTTATATGTCTCAGCCTCCTGGTTTCATTGATTCCTCTCATCCCGGACATGTTTGCAAGTTGCATTGTGCTATTTACAGACTTTGTAAAGCATCGCGGGCCTGGTTTCAAAGCTTTAGCTCTACACTCCTTACTATTGGTTTTCGGTGTAGTCAAGCTGACTCCTCTATGTTTTTTCTTCACTCTTCATCTTGGACAGTTATTTTATTGCTCTATGTTGATGACATTGTACTGACTGGCTCTTCTCCTGCTCTTATTCAATCTGTTATTGACCGTTTGTCTTCTCAGTTCTCTATGAAAGATCTTGGTGATCTTCACTATTTTCTTGGCATCGTGGTTCATCACATCTCTTTGCATATGCACTTAACACAGCCTAAATATCTTATTTCTCTACTTACTCGCTTGGACATGTTGTCTTGTAAGTCCACTTCCACTCCTATTACTTTCGGGCAAAAGTTGTCTCTTCATGATGGTGCACTTCTACCTGATCCCACCGAGTATCGACGTATTGTTGGTGTTTTACAATATCTTACCATCACACGTCCCAACATCACATATGCAGTCCAGCAAGTTCGACAATTCATGCATGCCCCTCACAATGCTCATTTTCAAGCTGTCAAGCGTATTCTCCAATATCTGAAAGGCACTCTTGGTTACGGTATTCGGTTTCTCACATCTTCTTCTGCTAGTCTCTCTTGCTTTGTTAATGCTGACTGGGCTGGTTGTCCTGATACTCGTTGCTTTACTATGGGTCATTGTGTTTTTCTTCTCTCTAGTCCTATCTCTTGGAGTAAAAAGAAACAAGTGATTGTGGCTCAATCTAGTACAGATGCTGAATACAATGCTCTCTCTTTTGCTGCTTCTGATTTGTTGTGGATTACATATCTTTTACGCGACATTGATTTTCCTATCACCTCTCTTAGCTTTCTTTACTGTGATAATTTGGGTGTGACTCAACTTGCTGTCAATCCTATTTTTCATGCTCGCACCAAGCACATTAAGATATCCTATCATTTCATACGTGACTTGATGAGTCGTGGCTTTCTTAAAGTACTATTTGTTCGCTCTTCCCATCAACTTGCAGACTTCTTTACCAAGGGTCTTCCCACTTTTACCTTTTCCATTTTTTGACACAAGTTGTTGTGGAAGCCTCCCCCAACAACTTGTGGGGGTGTAATAGGATATGTATACATGGGATATCATGTAAGCCTTAAGGGTACTATCGTATTTTCATCATATTACCTTACTTGTATATAAATATATAGCCAACCTGCTAAGGTTATAGGCCATTCTCAAATCCTGTCACAAAGTTTACATATGAACTACCAAAAGAGTAGGTAGTAGCATGGAGCTTGGCTCTCAAGTCCCAACCTTGAGAGTTACAAGTTGATGGATCCTTGAATTGGAAAAGATCAGGAGCCGGTATTGTCATATTCTCCCCTCATGGGGAAGTCTTAGAGTAGGCTTTCCGATTGGGGTTCACTGCCACCAATAACGAAGCTGAGTACGAAGCATTAATCTTCGACGTACGGGCTACATTGAGACTAGGGGAAGAGGAGTTGACTATACACTCTGATTCTCAGTTGGTTGTTAACCAACTCTCTGGGGAGTATAACGTCCGTTCAAACACTATGACCTCATACCTAGAGAAAGCAAGAGACTTGCTTGAACGGTTGAAGTCCTATAAGGTGATCCAGATCCCAAGAGACTAGAATAAACATGGTGATGCTCTTGCTACTCTAGCTTCCACTGATAGACAAGGTTTAAAGCGAATGATTGAGGTGGAGTATCTCGAGAAATCAAGTATACATGCGGACCCAATAAAGGTCAATTATGCGGATCAAACACCGAGTTGGATGGCCCCTCTTGTCCAATATCTTAAGAATGAGACTCTCCTAGAAGATAAGAATAAGGCAAAACTCATCATCTCAAAGTCAATCTGTTACTGGTTGTCACCGGATCATAAGCTCTACAAGAGGTCCTTTTTAGGGTCATACTTACTATACGTCCACCCTACTAAAGTGGAGGATCTACTTTATGAGATCCACAAAGGAGTGTGCAGTGCCCATACTGGAGGAAGAAGTCTTGCCCTAAAGGCCATCTCATAGGGTTATTGGTGGACGTATATGCAAAAGGATGCACAAGTATATGTCAAGAAGTGTGACAAGTGTCAAATATTTGCTACTATACCTCAACAGCCAACAAGTGACCTAAACCCACTTACGAGTCATTTGCTTAATGGTGTCTCGACATAGTAGGTCCCCCTTTCTTGGGTTCCATCCAACAAAAGGTATTTCATCACTACAACTGACTATTTCACAAAATGGATTGAGGTCTAGCCCCTCTCTAACATCCGTGATACTGATACCAATATGTTTGTATGGGAGAATATAATCACAAGGTATAGAATTCTTTACGCCCTAATATCTGACACTGTCACTCAATTTGATATCTCAGCTTTTAAAGAACTATGTTCAAGATATGGGGTCTGATTAACCATCAAAATTACTATTTTATTATATTTAATAATTGATTAATTTCATATTATTTGTGATTAAATGTGTTGAATTCCTTGATTTTTTAGTTTGATACTTTTTTCTAGTTGTTTGGTTTATTTTGCAGGTAAATTGGTTGATTTAAAGTAATAATGGATAATGCAAGTGAATCAATCACTAGAGGAAGAATCGCATTTGATAAGAATTAAAAAGTCAATATTAAGATAAGAAGACTTGAAAATATGACAGCAATTTAATCCTTCTAAGAGTCAAAGATGGAAGAAAACTCATTTAAAGTTGGATTAGGAAAGTATCCTAGAAGAATAAGGATTTGACACGTCTTCAATATTCTGGTTATAACTTTTGACTCTAATATCCGATTTACTTGATTTTTGGGGATTGAAAAGAATACTCCAAGGGCTACAAAAGTGTATTTCACGAAAATTTTGTGAATCATCCTCTAAATATGCGAAATCCAAGCTCAAAATCTGGACAGATTTTGTACCCGTGCCCCAAAGATTTTATGCACAGGATTTAACCTTACAAAAATTCTCTTTGAAAAGGAATTCCTTTCAAGACAACCTTAAATCTTCTACCTATACTTAGGATTTATTTTTAGTATAAATAAGGGTTCTCATCTAGGATTTATTGGATGATTCTTTTCCTATCTTTTCTTTTCTAGTTTTAGTTTGTCATGTCTGGCTAGAAGGCTAAGGTAGGGCTAGGGGAGAACCTCTTAATGAAGTACGGTAACGTTATGGATTCTGAGTTTAATGATTTATGATATTTTATTAATTTAACTTCTGATCTTATAACAAATTTTTTACTCTGTAAAAATCTTTGAGTTGTTGTATCATGTACATCGATTGCTTGAATTTTCCTGCGAGTAAATAACTGGTTATTCCATACTTGAGGTAATTATCATTATTTCATAAAATAATATAATTAGATGATTATTCAGGTTCCTAAATAATATTTTGATTATAACTTTTAGTTTTCTTACTTGATTTGTTATTCGAATCTATCGACATCTGATTCTTGTACCAAATTAAGTTTTGAGTCATTAATAATTATTGTATGGAATTGAGAGAGAGTACCTGATGCTCTAGTATTTTTATTACTGTTTTAATTATTTAAATCAATTTTCTCCACTCAACAACTCTCTAAATAAATCATTTATTTTTTTTAAGTTTGATTTGGTATTTGTGTGATTGCTTTCTTGTTACAATTCCTTGAGGGTTCAACCTCAGTCTTCCGAGAAATATATTACTTCGATCATCCTGTGCTTGGATTTACAATATTAAAGGTGAAGCAAGTTTTTGGCGTCGTTGCCAAGGAGTTGAAAGACAAGGAGCCACCATCACATCTAGTGAGGTTTTCGATATTTGTGATTCGTCGAAGATCCGGTAACTTCGTTCTATTTTTTAATTATTTATTTATTTTATTGAAATTTTTTTTTGTTATTTTAGTTATTTTTCTGTTTTATTTTTTTATTTTTTTTATTTGTTATATGAGTTCTTGGCATCGTGATTTGAGTGGTCGTTTGATAAGAGAAGATTTAGACACTCTGTTTGGAAATTTATTTGATTCATCTGATTCAAATCATACTTCTCATACAATGACTACTGATCCTAATGATAATAGACAAAATAATTTACCTGAATATGAGGATCATATTAATAGAGTAAGTAATCATGATGAGAACGATGTGGATAATTTACATGCTAATCAGGATAGGACTTTCGTGAATATTTACAGCCGGCACGCCACACTGCACCCTCATGCATTATCTTTCCATTAAATACCACAAATTTTATTTTCAAACCTAGCATGATTACATTACTCCCAAAATTTCTTAGCCTAGATTCAGAAAATCCATATCTACACATTAGAGAATTTGAAGATGTATGTGCTACATTCCATGATCAGAATGTCTCAGTGAATACAATCAGATTAAAGCTGTTTCCTTTTTCATTAAAGGAAAAAGCTAAGACTTGGTTATATTCACTTAGATCTAGGACCATAGGTACATGACCTAGGATGCAAAAATAATTTCTGAAAAAGTTTTTT